AAATTAATAACTAGCGGAATGCCCGTTCATCGAACGGAGTAAAATAAAAGTATATAAATCAGTACATTTAAATCAACACTACTAGATCGTGCACTCAACTGAAAAGAATACACGAATACATATACAATGGAACAGACACAATTAATAGTTCAAATAATTCCAATAGCCATTTAATTATTATTATTTGTTACCCTTTTTTGTGATTACCAGGTGTTACGTCTTAAATGAAGGATGGNGTCTAAACTGACGTCAATTCCCTTACTTATCCACTGATAATCCATTAATGATCAATCAGTTAAATAGCAGCCAATAAGAAATATGTTTCTATTGGGATGGGAATACGTATCGTCCAATAGGAATATTGCAAACAGGTAACTGTCATTCACAATCACAAAATTACGACAATTGTTTGATTTATTCCTCTTAAGCACGTAGTTCAGTCTCTGGCTTGGACATCGTTATAAAAAAATAGTTAAATATTAAAAAGTTGGCAATTTGTTTTAATTACATAGAGCTGTCAGATAGTTATCACCAAAGGTGTTAGGTGTTATCTCTGAAATATTTGAACAAACAGAATTATTTACAGGTTAATTTATTGAACCAATTGGAACAAAAAATTGAAACATCTCCCCCGTCTGACTTATAAAATTGTTTGAGTAGGGTGTAATATTGTGAACTTGCCTCCACTGTTCAAGTTTCAGTATGACACGCATACACACGCAAGCACGCGAGAGGCCATATTATCTATTAATAATTTCAATAAATAATAATTTTTATTTATTTGCTGAATTCATATTTGTATCGACTTAATTGCCATTACAATTTTCTTTTCATGTTAGTTTTGTTATATTTATAGTTTTTATTTATGTTAAAATCTTTTTATGGAATTTTTTTTTAAAATTTTCAATTATATTACGTAATTTAAGCAGACCAAAAAAGGGTTTTGATTGCTAATAACAAAATGAAAGTTATCTAAATTTCTCCTATTTATTCAGTGAATATTTACTCATTTTGGCTTTTACAATTTCAAAACAAAGAATCTTGAAATGTAAATTAGTAAAAGAAAAGTTAATAATAAGATCTCGAAGCAGGTAAATAATATTATCATTATTGAAGCGAAAATAGAACAAATTAAGTAAATTTAAAATAAAACATAACAAGCAAAAAATAGAGAATAAAAATTCACGAAAAATACAGAATGAAACACAAAATGTAACATCTAAAGCGAGTAGTGAATTCAAATGTAATTCCACGTACAGGCATCTTCCAAAAATAATTAAAAAAATTTACGTAACAAGTTTGTCAGATTACAAAATATGAAAATTTTCTTTTATTCTTTTTTGTTTCATTATTTTGTATAACAGTAGTATGCGGCACCAAAGCACCGTTTATATTTTTAATTTGTACTGCTGTTTTAGATAGGATGAAAAATTAATTTAAATAATTACTTCGCAACTAAGATTTTATATCGATAAAAGTACAAAATTATTGTAAATAAATCCTTAGCATATAACTGATTACTCAACACTGCTTTAAATTATTACTAAGATAGCCAAACAAAATCAATGATAACTAAAATTTTGCCAATAGATATTGAAATACCACATATAGTGTCACATAAGAAAAATATATATTAATTAAATAGAGTTATTCTAAAACACTTGGCCATAACAAAGACTGACAAAATTTTAAATAACCTTTTTTCGTTTTTATACTTCAATGAGAAATTTCAAATGTATATGATGTACACCAATGCATAACTACACATTTCTCAATAATAAAGAAAACATTTAATTTCATTCATCTCAATTTTCCAATTAAAAATATTCGCAGTACATTTATTAATGAAGTATAATTGAATAAATAATGAATATAATGAAATATAAAATTTATTTTTTATACCTGGTCAATGCTAAATTAGATCTTTGCCTGTAAGATGTGAGCAGTGTATAGGATTTAAAATAGTATCGGAAGCAATTTGCAGCTTAGGTAAGATACTTTTTCCAATACGTGTGGACAATCAAACAAATAATGATAGAATGGAACGCTAAAGGTTCGATAAGATAAAAAAAAAAAGAATATGGGGTGATAACGAGAACGAAACAGATAACTGACAATTTGTTAACTGTTTATGTTGTAATTTCATTATGACATAACCAGTTAACAAATAATAGGGTATAACATAATAATAGGGTATACTTTATGCAATTTAACAAAAAAGCGAACCAACGCGAATATAGCATAAACTAAGGTATATAAATGGACTTACTATAGTTTTGGTTCTATAAGCAAGAAACTTTCTCGTTTACTAAGCATAAAATATAATGTTTTCAGATGCTGTGTTTAGGTACTCTATGCATTTAAGACAAGAATGAAAAATAAATTTTTTAAATTTAAATTCTGGATACAATGAAGTACCACTAATTAACTCAAAATGCAAATCAAATGCAGCACTTAAAATAGAGTCAGAAAGATTAGAATTGCAAAAAGTCCGAAGAAAAATATCATGAAAAAATTTATGATTGGTTAATGATTAATTTTATTCAATTTAATCTAACAAAATTTTTCTTTCATATTAAATACTTTGGCAGTTGTTGAAATTTCGTGTTCCGAAATTTAATATCTATCGCTTTAAAAGAATAGTTTTAAATCATTTCGGAAACACTAGACAACTGAATTCATAACAAAACGGATAATTCGTAGATTATGTTTCAATAGTTAGACATAGTAGAATTGCGTTTGTCTTTACACATAAAACGCTCAGGATTCCTGCTCAAATCGTACTGTAATATCTTATCAAACTATGTCGTAATATCTTATCATCTATTAGGAGCTTAGTGGTACACTGTAAAAAATTCTGGGTTAAATTTCGGCACTTTATGTGAATTATCAACAAAATCCATTTTTACCCTAAAATATGATAGCGTAATTTTTACTGTTATATTTTTTTATTTAGAGTGATTCAGGGAAATTACGGTTATTTCCACTGCAAAAATTACGGTATATCAGATTTTTGTTCAGTAAATCCCGCTGAAAAGGGATATTACTGCAAACAGTACCGGCAATTTAACTGCAGGTATTTTTTCCGTACTTTAATTCGGAATTTTTTACAGTGTAGAAGTAGATAAATGACATTTTTGAGGATATTTATTAATTTATGAAAATAATATATTAAGTGGTAACTTGAATATGTTTAATGTTTAATGTGTCAAAATTGTTTTTGCTTGCCCTTTAATTTTAACGCTACTAATCCACATAAGTTTTGAGTATGCTTACATGATTTTACTTTTCAAATTAGTATAGGTAAATGAAATAAAACAAATAATTAAAAGCCTCGCCACCTAAAATCTCGATAATAAGATAAATCGGAAATCATTTGTTTTCTTCTTGCCTTGATTATAGCGACTCTGAAAATATCACGTACATGGTTCTTCAACTAAACTTGTCATGTGTCTAAGCTTTAGCTTTATGCTATTAATTTCGATTCATACCTTTAATGGTAGGTAATAGAACAAAGTGTGCAGATCTGGGTTTTAAACTAATCAGTTAAATATCACATTTATGTAAAAAATTGTGATATAATTCATTTCTTCTAGATAATTGCTGAATAAAACAATGAAGCCACGTTAAAAAACTAATTATTATATTTATATGTATCTTTATTGGTTATATATAAAATGAAATATATTTCAAATACAAGAATGAAATAATGTGTAAAGTTTTATTAAATAAAAACAAAAAAATCCTTCTCTACAATTGCATCAACTATCTAATGTGACTACTACAGAATCACTAATGGTCAACTTACACTGTTTTTTTGTACTTTTTTCTTAACAAAGTTTATAACCTTATGTTTTATAAAACTTAAAGAACTTCTTTTGAAATTTAGAAACACTAACCCCCACGTAATACCAATAAGACCGTATTTAATATGTATAAGCAACAAGAATAATGTAACATTATACATAAATAATACAACATTATACATAAATAATACAACATTATAAATAAATAATAACAATATACATAAAAAATAACATTAAGCATAAATAATTATATTATACATAAATAATAACATTATGCATAAATAATAACATTAAACATAAATAATGACGTTATACATAAATAATAACATTATACATTAATAATAACATTAGATATAAATAAAAAAACATCATTAATAATGTATTAACATGAATGAATAACAACATGAAACCCCAGAATCTATTGTTTAGTTCTTCGTTCCAAGGTAAAAGGATATGAATTTGAGCACATCATCTTTATCTGGAAGCAACTCGATAATTTTTGCGTTTTGTTATTTTTCTAATGTGAATATTTTCAATATGGATATTTTAATATGATTTTCATCGATTGAGTGCTGATGTGTTAAGCAATTTTCGTAATTGAAATTTGGTGCAGAATAACTTAACTAGAGTCGAATCAATTTAAATTACGCAAAGGGTTTTGCAAAGACAGTTATCATTAAAAAATAAAACACAATTTTATCACTTTTCTTATTTTCAAGGAGATTAAAACAATTTGATTCTTTGAAAAATGTAGAGAAATGCGATTTTACATTGCTAATTTAACTATTAACTTAAATATCAGAGTTTTTCAAATTGTCTTTAACGAATAAAAACCTTAAAATAAGTAAATTGTCGAGTAAAATATTTTTTTTCGAAAATAAGGGCTAATGCTTTCTAATATTAAAAGATTACATTATTTTCCTTTAAAATAGCATATTAATAATTAATACTTAGTCTGCGACATGTGAAACGAAATAAATAAAAATATCAAGCACATTTCTCTATTTTAATGAAGACAAGTTAAACTATTATTGTTCATTTGAAAATTAAATATTTAAAATTAAATATTTAAAATATATTTTTCCTTTAAAAAATTAAACTCTAAAATATTTAAAATATATTTTTCTTTTAAAAAATTAAACTCTAAAATATTTAAAATATATTTTTCAGAATACTTGATTCTGTTTCATATTTTTTGTTTTATTCCAAGTTCTTTCCAAGTAATAGTTATTCCAAGTAATAGTATTCATTTATTACAAAAAAAAATGTACATTTTCATTGATTTTTGTTTGACTGACATCGAACAATATTCACAAATTAATGCACAAAGGAATGTTTAATTCGTAGAACATTGTTTCATTGCTTTGTATTCACAGTCCTTAATAAATGTTTTCAAGAACCTATCCGAAAGTGAAGCAAAAAAGAATTTAAATATCTTGGTTTGTAAATACAAAACAATATCGAATTCCAACAAATAGCTACTGAAAAAGGAGGAACTAACTGTATGTGAACCAGTCGAATGCTAAAACTTGAAAGCGTCACATTCATCATCTTTATAAAGCAAACAGGTTTGAAAATTTTAGTCCCGTCTTCTCCTTAGTGACTTATACGATTTTGATTTCGCGTTCGTTTTTTCATCGCGTAAATACTATTTAGCTTAATGTATAAATGTGTATATCTTTAATTTAATTTTTTAAAAAGATTCAAATTTATATAGTAATGGTGGTTATTCTTTTACACACTGAATAAACTTCTTTTTAACTAACCATAAGAAGAGAAGAAATTTACAGGGCTGTTGACTTTTAAAAGCCTTTTCTGCGTTTTTACAATCGCATTTATGTGCAAGAAAGATTGTGTTGGTCTCCTTTTTTTTATAAAATTCATGATTTAAGTACAATAATGGAAAAAAAGAAGAAATTGTGTCCAAATAGACTGTCTCAGTCATTCTATCTTGTCCCTATCGTACAGAAGACGTGTATTTTACTTCACACTGTGTTAAATGTCAACAATTTCAAAAGGAAGAAATAAAATACACAATCTGAAAACTATATATGTCAAAACAAATGTATTTTTTCCTCTCGTTCCAAACTGGAAAAAAAATGTTGCCACCATTGATTTCGATTGCTACTATTAAGTTAGATTTGAAAAAAAAACCTTGATATTGCTTCTAGAGGAGCAGATATGCAAATAATTTAATGTGTTTAGATGTAAGATTTTTATTTTTATGGTCAGAAAATGTTTTATTTGAGATATTATTCAACTTCAACATCTGACACAATTAAATGTTTTACTGATGATTACCTTAATCAGTTGGTTTAACTTACGCATTTATTCGTACTTCATAACTTTTCTTTTAAAATGCCGTACGTCAATGCTAATATATGTCTAGGGGGGCTACTTCAGTGTGAATTATTAAAAAAAAGTTTGAAAAAATAGTGAATGTAGTTATTCGTTTGTAGGTCAGTTAGCAGCATTTAGACTCAGAAGAAGTTAACGCAGTTTAAGAAGATACCAAAAATAAACGTAGGAATATTGATATCTTTTAAATTTGGTCTATTACATTATTACAAAATATTACATGAAATGATTCAAAATGTTTTTAATCCTATTAGTAGTTGTATGGCGCAGAGAAGTGTTTTGAACTAAGTATTTAAGGGTAACAAAAACAATTTCATTAGTTTAACAAAATTATAAAAAACTCTATACAGCTTTTTAAAACCTTCAGTGACACCAAAGTTTGAGTAGAAAGGTCGAAGTTAATTAAACATTCCCCATTAAAACTTTGAGATATTAAAAGCATAACAGTTATCTCATTTCATAAGGCACTGTAATAGAGAATTTGCTGACATGCCTTTAATTTGATCTAATTTAATAATTTTTCTTAATCAGAAGTTAAATGAAATAGAAAATGAAGAATCGTATTTATAATTGTGCAGAAGATGTAACTTTTACAGATCTGTGAAGAGGCGTACAATCATCCCTACTTTTAGCATTTATATAAGCGCCTTTTGCAATTAAAAGCTCTGAAATTTTTTTGCTACCAGCGAAAAATAGAGGTGTTGCACCTTCACAATTTTTAGCTTCAACATCAGCACCTTCTTTTATTAAAAGCTCGACAACCTTATAATTTCCCTTTATAACAGCGTCGTGGAGAGGTGTATAGCCAACGTTATTTTTGGCATTTATATCAGCGCCTTTTGCAATTAAAAGCTTTGCAATTTTTCTGCAACCAGCAACAGACAGGGGTGTTGCCCCTCTAAAATCTTTAGCTTCAACATCAGCACCTTCTTTTATTAAAAGCTTGACAACCTCATCCTTTTTAAATATAACAGCGTAGTGCAGAGGTGTTAAACCTTTGCTACTTTTAGCATTTATATCAGCGCTTTTTGCAATTAAAAGTTTTGCAATTTTTTCGCTTCCAGCTACAAACAGAGGTGTTACATCATAAGAATTTTTAGCTTCAACATCAGCACCTTCTTTTATTAAAAGCTCGACAACCTCATATTTTTCATTCATAACAGCGGCGTGCAGAGGTGTATAACCTCGGCTACTTCTAGCATTCATATCAGCACCGTTTTTTATTAAAATTTCAACAACTTCATACTTATCGTGATTAACGGCATAGTGCAAAGGTGTTTCCCCATGCATACTTTTAGCCTCAATATCGGCACCTCGTTTTATTAAAAGTTTAGTAACTTTTTCATCTGCCGCATAATGAAGAGGAGTACACCCATCTTTATCAACAACGTTGATCAAATTTATTTTACTTTCTATGAGAGTCTCTAAAATCTTTACTAAACTTTTTTTTGCTGCCTCGTGTAATAAAGTCTCTTTTGGTTTCTCAGCATCGTAAGTTTCAAGGCTTTTTGTTGCTTCATGCATGTCACAAGCATTCGCACCTTTTCTTAGGAGTAATTCACCGGTTTCCCAATGACCGCCTTTATCTGCATATCTTAAAGGCCTCCAACCAAGTAGCTGTTCCTTAGCATCTACTCTAAATTCGTGATTCAACAAAGTCTGAACCAAATAAAAATTTCCAAATGCAGCAGCTAAGTGCAGTGCTGTTCTTCCTACTTTGTCTTTAGCATCAATTAAATATCTGACACTGTCTGAGTTAGTTAATAAATGTTCTACTTTGTCTTCCTCATTGTTCAAAACTGCAATATGCACATCACAGTTCTCTCTATCGTCTGCTACCATGTAATCGAAGAAAATGTCGATTAAGTGAAATTTATGTCCATAAATATTCTCACAAAAAAATTTCTTTATATTTTCTTTTTCTATGTTGTTTGCAAAAAAAAGTGCTGCGAAATATTCAGAAAAGCTGTAGTGGATGAAAATTGGCTTTTCATCGACAATATGACTAATGAAACCCCAGTTTTCGTCGCCTTCTTGTACCTCTTTCTTATAATCCTTCATTTCTGTCAGCTCTTCTTCATCAAGAAACTTCTTTAAATCTTTTTTCATAAAAAGTGCACTTAAAGCTAGAAGCGAATATTTTTTTATAAAGGAAGCGAAGTGTATTTTATATAAGGACCATGGTTTTGTTAAGTCTAATATCTTTTTGTCTGTAAGATCCCTCCTGAATTTGCTGACAACAAAAGCTTTATAGAGGCTAGTGAGATGTAATTGTTTTGAAAAAGTTGATTTTGTTTTTTTGGACAGTTGATGAGAGGTGTGGAATTCTTCTTGAAAAGCTTCAACCAGCATTTTGATATGCAATGGTATTCCTGTAAATTCATTATTTTCATCAGAAACGGGTTGCAAAACACTGTCAAGTAATTTGTTGGCGAAATACTCAAACTTTTCTGTGATACTATGTCCTAAAATGTTACGCAAGTACTTTCGAATAAACATCACCTGATCATCTCTAGACAGCAGCTTCAGACTATAGGATAGTACTTTTAATATGACCTCTAGTTCATTTTTCATGTGTGGGCGTGTAGTTATCCAGAGGTGGTTCTCAGTATTTGAATCTTGTAAAGTTTTTAACAGTTCAATAATATTCACCTTGTAGTCAGGAACTATTTCATCAAATCCATCAAGAAAAAAAGCAACTTTACCTGCATTCAATCCATGCCTAAATAATTCTCTTTCCAGGTGTGTCTTTAGACCAGCTATGTCCACAATAAATTTAAAAATTTGGTCCTTATCATTATCAAAGTCTACATTTGCTAATTTTCCTGTATAATCATTTAAATTAATTCTCATAACCCATAGGGAAGAATTTATAATTTTCATTTTTCGTGCTATTTTTGTCAGTACTGTGGATTTACCAGCGCCAGATACTGAACTTATAATAACTACACGTCCATCTATATCACTGCATGCAGNTGAAAAGTATATAAATCAGTACATTTAAATCAACACTACTAGATCGTGCACTCAACTGAAAAGAATACACGAATACATATACAATGGAACAGACACAATTAATAGTTCAAATAATTCCAATAGCCATTTAATTATTATTATTTGTTACCCTTCTTTGTGATTACCAGCTTCCCTGTGATTTATTGAACCAATTGGAACAAAAAATTGAAACATCTCCCCCGTCTGACTTATAAAATTGTTTGAGTAGGGGGTAATATTGTGAACTTGCATCCACTGTTCAAGTTTCAGTATGACACGCATATACACGCATGCACGCGAGAGCCCATATTATCTATTAATAATTTAAATAAATAATAATTTTCATTTATTTGCTGAATTCAAATTTGTATCGACTTAATTGTTATTACACTTTTCTTTTCATGCTAGTTTCGTTATATTTATAGTTTTTATTTATGTTAAAATCTTTTGATGGAATTTTTTTTTTAAATTTTCAATTATATTATGTAATTTAAGTAGACCAAAAAAGGGTTTTGATTGCTAATAACAAAATGAAAGTTATCTAAATTTTTCTATTTATTCGGTGAATATTTACTAATTTTGGCTTTTACAATTTCAAAACGAAGAATTTTGAAATGTAAATTAGTAAAAGAAAAGTTAATAATAAGATCTCGAAGCAGATAAATAATATTATCATTATTGAAGCGAAAATAGAACAAATTAAGTAAATTCAAAATAAAACATAACAAGCAAAAAATAGAGAATAAAATTTCGCGAAAAATACAGAATGAAACACAAAATGTAACATCTAAAGTGAGTAGTGAATTCAAATGTAATTCCACGTACAGGCATCTTCCAAAAATAATTAAAAACATTTACGTAACAAGTTTGTCAGATTACAAAATATGAAAATTTTCTTTTATTCTTTTTTGTTTCTTTATTTTGTATAACAGTATGCGGCACCACAGCTCCGTTTATATTTTTAATTTGTACTGCTATTTTAGACAGGATGAAAAATTAATTTAAATAATTACTTCGTGACTGAGATTTTATTTCGATAAAAGTACAAAATTATTGTAAATAAATCCTTAGCATATAACTGATTACTCAACTCTGCTTTAAATTATTACTAAGACAGCCAAACAAAATCAATGATAACTATAATTTTGCCAATAGATATTGAAATACCACACATAGCGTCACATAAGAAAAATATATATTAATTAAATAGAATTATTCTAAAACAATTGGCCATAACAAAGACTGACAAAATTTTAAATAACCTTTTGTTCATTTTTATACTTTAATGAGATATTTCAAATGTATATGATGTACCAATGCGTAACTAAACATTTCTCAATAATGAAGAAAACATTTAATTTCATTCATCTCAATTTTCCAATTAAAAATATTCGCAATACATTTATTAATGAAGTATAATTGAAAAAATAATGAATATAATGAAATATAAAATTTACTTTCTATACCTGGTCAATGCTAAATTGGATCTTTGCCTGTAAGATGTGAGCAGTGTATAGGATTTAAAATAGTATCGGAAGCAATTTGCAGCTTAGGTAAGATACTTTTTCCATTACGTGTGGACAATCAAACAAACAATGATAGAATGGAACGCTAAAGGTTCGATAAGATAAAAAAAAAAAGAATATAGGGTGATAACGAGAACGAAACAGATAACTGACAATTTGTTACCAAAGAGATATTTAAGTCAGGAATTTTAAAATGAAATTATACAATTTCATAAATTTTTATTGTCTTATAATCCTTAATTATTCTACTAATATAAATATTTCAATATAACAGGAGGTGTAAAAATTGTGCATCATTTACATTTGTCCTCATCATCACCACATTATTATTTTTCCAAAAAATATTTTCTTTTAAGAGATAAATTTATTTTTTCGATTTGCTTACCATGCAATATAAATTAACCTTAAGTAACTTATTTTAAATTTTACAGAAAATTTAAATTTTTTTTAATTGAAACAAGGAAATAAACAAAAAGCATATTTTCCTCAAATGAAATATTTTTCCTTAGTTTTAATTGTTTCATTGGTCAACTGCAAACTGCATTATTATTATAAATTTCAGTATCTTTGTTGTAGAATTTTTATGACACAAATGAGGATGCACTGTAAAAAATTCTGATCAAATTATGTCAAAAAGGGTGCCGGTAATCTTTCCCGTAATATTCATTTTTACTCGGACATATTACGGAACAAAAATTCAGATAAACTGTAATTTTTACAGTGATAATTCAAAATCATCATCATAAAATCGTAAAATCATTGAATAACTCTAATTAAATAAATATTACTGTAAAAAAGGAATTTATGATATAAAGAATGTTACGGTAAAGTGAATTTTAGAAATAATGCACTAAAAGTGACTGAACTTTATATCGCAATTTCATCTATAATTGTTTACAGTATAGGGTATACTTTATGCAATTTAACAATAAAGCGAACCAACGTGAATAAAGCATAAACTAAGGTATATAAATGGACTTACTATAGTTTTGGTTCCATAAGCAAGAAACTTTCTCGTTCACTAAACATAAAATATAATGTTTTCAGATGCTGTGTTTAGGTACTCTATGCATTTAAGACAAGAATAAAAAAGAAATCTTTTAAATTTAAATTCTGGATACAATGAAGTACCACTAATTAACTCAAAATTCAAATCAAATGCAGCACTTAAAATACAGTCAGAAAGATTAGAATTGCAAAAAGTCCGAAGAAAAATATCATGAAAAAATTTATGATTGATTAATGATTAATTTTATTCAATTTAATCTAACGAAATTTTTCTTTCATATTAAATTCTTTGGCAGTTTTTGAAATTTCGTGGTCCGAAATTTAATATCTATAGCTTTAAAAGAATAGTTTTAAATCATTTCGGAAACACTAGATAACTGAATTCATAACAAAACTGATAATTCGTAGATTATATTTCAATAGTTAGACATAGTAGAATTGCGTTTGTCTTTACACATAAAACGCGCAGGATTCCTGCTCAAATCGTACTGTAATATCTTATCAAACTATGTCGTAATATCTTATCATCTATTAGGAGCTTAGTGGTACACTGCAAAAAATTCTTTATTTTTTACAGTGTACCACTATTTCGGCACTTTATGTGCATTATCCGCAAAATCCATTTCTACCCTAAAATATGATAGCGTAATTTTTACTGTTATATTTCTTTATTTAGAGTGATTCAGGGAAATTACGGTTATTACCACTGTAAAAATTACGGCATATCAGATTTTTGTTCAGTAAATCCCGCTGACAAGGGATCTTACTGCGAACTGTACCGGCAATTTAACTGCAGGTACTTTTTTCCGTAATTTATTTCGGAGTTTTTTACGGTGTAGAAGTAGATAAATGACGTTTTTAGGGATATTTATTAATTGATTTAGATAATATAAATGTGGTAGTTTGAATATGTTTGTGTCAGAATTGTTTTTTGCTTGCCCATTAATTTTAACGCTACTAATCCACATAAGTTTTGATTATGCTTACATGATTTTACTTTTCAAATTAGTATAGGTAAATAAAATAAAACAAATAATTAAAAGCCTCGCCAGCTAAAATATCGATAATAAAATAAAACGGAAATCATTTGTTTTCTTCTTGCCTTGATTATAGCGACTCTGAAAATGTCACGTACATGGTTCCTCCACTAAACTTTTCATGTGTCTAAGCTTTAGCTTTATGCCATTAGTTTCAATTCATACCTTTAATGGTAGGTGATACAACAAAGTGTGCAGATCTCGGTTTCAAACTAATCAGTTAAATATCACATTTATGTAAAAAATTGTGATATAATTCATTTCTTCTCGATAATTGCTGAATAAAACAATGAAGCCATGTTAAAAAATTAATTATTATATTTATCTATATCTTTATTGGTTATATATAAAATGAAATATATTTCAAATACAAGAATGAAATAATGTGTAAAGTTTTATTAAATAAAAACAAAAAAATCCTTCTCTACAATTCCATCAACTATCTAATGTGACTACTACAGAATCACTAATGGTCAACTTACACAGTTTTTTTTGTACTTTTTTCTTAACAGAGTTTATAACCTTATGTTTTTTAAAACTTAAAGAACTTCTTTTGAAATTTAGAAACACTAACCCCCTCGTAATACCAATAAGACCGTATTTAATATGTATAAGCAACAAGAATAATGTAACATTATACATAAATAATACAACATTATACATAAATAATAACAATATACATAAATAATAACATTAAACATAAGTAATTACATTATACATAAATAATAACATTATGCCTAAATAATAACATTAAACATAAATAATGACGTTATACATAAATAATAACATTATACATTAATAATATCATTAGATATAAATAAAAAAAACATCATTAATAATGTATTAACATGAATGAATAACAACATGAAACCACAGAATCTATTGTTTAGTTCTTCGTTCCAAGGTAAAAGGATATGAATTTGACCACATCATCATTATCTGGAAGCAACTCGATAATTTTTGTGTTTTGTTATTTTTTTAATGTGAATATTTTCAAAATGAGTATTTTAATTTGATTTTTATCGATTGAGTGCTGATGTGTTAAGCAATTTTCTTAATTGAAATTTGTCGCAGAATAACTTAACTAGAGTCGAATCAATTTAAATTACGCAAAGGGTTTTGCAAAGACAGTTATCATTTAAAAATAAAACACAATTTTATCATTTTTCTAATTTTCAAGGAGATTAAAATAATTTGATTCTTTGAAAAATGTAGAGAAATGCGATTTTGCATTGCTAATTTAACTATTAACTTAAATATCAGAGTTTTTCAAATTGTCTTTAACGAATAAAAACCTTAAAATAAGCAAATTGTCGAGTAAAATATTTTTTTTCGAAAATAAGGGCCAATGTTTTCTAATATTAAAAGATTACATTATTTTCCTTTAAAATAACATATTAATAATTAATAGTTACTCTGCGCCATGTGAAACGAAATAAATAAAAATATCAAGCACATTTTACCATTTTAATGAAGGCAAGTTAAACTATTACTGTTCATTTGAAAATTAAATATTTAAAATATATTTTTCTTTTAAAAAAATTCAACTCTAAAATATTTAATATATATTTTTCAAGATACTTGATTATGATTCATATTTTCTGTTTTATTCCAAGTTCTTTTCTTCAATTTAAAATATTTTATAGTTATCATTTATTACAGAAAATAATGTACATTTTAAATGCTTTTTGTTTTACTGACATCGAACAATATTTACATATTAATGCACAAAAGAATGTTTAATTCGTAGAACATTGTTACACTGCTTTGTATTCACAGTCCTTAATACATGTTTGTAAGAACCTATCCGAAAGTGAAGCAAAAAAGAATTTAAATATCTTGGTTTGTAAGTTATATTTCAGCAAGGAAAAACAAAACAATATCGAATTCCAACAAATAGCTACTGAAAAAGGAAGAACTAACTGTATGTAAACCAGTTGAATGCTAAAACTTGAAAGCGTTACATTCATCATCTTTATAAAGCAAACAGGTATGATAATTTTAGTCCCGTCTTCTCCATAGCGACTTATACGATTTCGATTTTGCGTTCGTTTTTTCATCGCGTAAATACTATTTAGCTTAATGTATAAATGTGTATATTTTTAATAAATCATTCAGTTATGGTGATTATTCTTTAATACCCCGAATAAACTTCTTTTTTATATAAGCATAAGAGGAGAACAAATTTACATTGCTGTTGACTTTTAAAAGACTTTTCTGCGCTTTTACAATCACATTTATGCACAAAAAAGATTGTGTTGGTCTCTTTTTTTTATTAAATTCATGATTCAAGTACAGTAATGGAAAAAAAAGAAGAAAATGTGTTCAAATAGACAGTCTCAGTCATTCTATCTCGTCCCTATCGTACAGAAGACGTGTATTTTACTTCACACTATGTTAAATGTCAACAATTTCAAAAGGAAGAAAGAAAATACACAATCTGAATACTATATATGTCAAAACAAATGTATTTTTTCCTCTCGTTCGAAACTGGAAAAAATGTTGCTACCATTGATTTCGATTGCTACTATTAAGTTAGATTTGAAAAAAAAACCTTGATATTGATTCTAGAGGAGCAGATATGCAAATAATTTAATGTGTTTAGATGTAAGATTTTTATTTTTATGGTCAGAAAATGTTTTATTTGAGACATTATTCAACTTCAACATCTGACACAATTAAATGTTTTACTGATGATTACCTTAATCAGTTGGTCTAACTTACGCATTTATTCGTACTTCATAACTTTTCTTTTAAAATGCCGTACGTCAATGCTAATATATGTCCAGGGGGGCTACTTCAGTGTGAATTATTAAAAAAAAAAGTTTGAAAAAATAGTGAATGTAGTTATTCGTTTGTAGGTCAGTTAGCAGCATTCAGACTAAGAAGAAATTAACGTAGTTTAAGAAGATACTAACAATAAATGTAGGAATATTGATATCTTTCAAATTTGGTCTATTACATTATTACAAAATATTACATGAAATGATCCAAAATGTTTTTAATCCTATAATTAGTTGTATGGCACAGAGAAGTGTTTTGAACTAAGTATTTAAGGGAGACAAAAACAATTTCATTAGTTTAACAAAATTATAAACGATATAATCAGCTTTTTAAAATCTTCAGTGACAGCAAAGTTTGAGTAGAAAGGTCGAAGTTAATCAAACATTCACCATTAAAACTTTGAGATATTAAAAGCATAACAGTTATCTCATTTCATAAGGCACTGTAATAGAGAATTTGCTGACATGCCTTTAATTTGTTCGAATTTAATTATTTTTTTTATCAAACGTTCAATGAAATAGAAAATGAAGAATCGCATTTATAATTGTGCAGAAGATGTAATTTTTACAGATCTGTGAAGAGGCGTACAATCATCCCTACTTTTAGCATTTATATCAGCGCCTTTTGCAATTAAAAGCTCTGAAATTTTTTTGCTACCAGCGAAAAATAGAGGTGTTGCACCATCACAATTTTTAGCTTCAACATCAGCACCTTCTTTTATTAAAAGCTCGACAACCTTATAATTTCCCTTTATAACAGCGTCGTGGAGAGGTGTATAGCCAACGTTATTTTTGGCATTTATATCAGCGCCTTTTTCAATTAAGAGCTCTGAAATTTTTTTGCTACTAGCTAAAAATAGAGGTGTTACATCATAAGAATTTTTAGCTTCAACATCAGCACCTTCTTTTATTAAAAGCTCGACAACCTCATATTTTCCCTTTATAACAGCGGCGTGGAGAGGTGTATAGCCAACGTTATTTTTGGCATTTATATCAGCGCCTTTTGCAATTAAAAGCTTTGCAATTTTTCTGCTACCGGCAACAGACAGGGGTGTTGCCCCTCTAAAATCTCTAGCTTCAACATCAGCACCTTCTTTTATTAGAAGCTTGACAACCTCATCCTTGTTAAATATAACAGCGTAGTGCAGAGGTGTTAAACTTTTGCTACTTTTAGCATTTATATCAGCGTTTTTCGCAATTAAAAGCTTTGCATTTTTTTTGCTTCCAGCTACAAACAGAGGTGTTACATCATAAGAATTATTAGCTTCAACATCAGCACCTTCTTTTATTAAAAGCTCGACAACCTCATATTTTTCATTCATAACAGCGGTGTGCAGAGGTGTATAACCTCGGCTACTTCCAGCATTCATATTAGCACCGTTTTTTATTAAAATTTCAACAACTTCATACTTATCGCGATTAACGGCGTAGTGCAAAGGTGTTTCTCCATGCACACTTTTAGCCTCAATATCGGCTCCTCGTTTTATTAAAAGTTTAGTAACTTTTTCATCTGCCGCATAATGAAGAGGAGTACATCCATCTTTATCAACAACGTTGATCAAATTTATTTTACTTTCTATGAGAGTCTCTAAAATCTTTACTAAACCTTTTTTTGCTGCCCCGTGTAATAAAGTCTCTTTTGGTTTCTCAGCATCGTAAGTTTCAAGGCTTTTTATTGCTTCATGCATGTCACAAGCATTCGCACCTTTTCTTAGGAGTAATTCACCGGTTTCCCAATGACCGTCTTTATCTGCATATCTTAAAGGACTCCAACCAAGTAGCTGATCCTTAGCATCTACTCTAAATTCGTGATTCAACAAAGTCTGAACCAAATAAAAATTTCCAAATGCAGCAGCTAAGTGCAGTGCTGTTCTTCCTACTTTATCTTTAGCATCAATTAAATATCTGACACTGTCTGAGTTATTTAATAAATTTTCTACTTTGTCTTCCTCATTGTTCAAAACTGCAATATGCGCATCACAGTTCTCTCTCTCGTCTGCTACCATGTAATCGAAGAAAATGTCGATTAAGTGAAATTTATGTCCATAAATATTCTCGCAAAAAATTTTCTTTATATTTTCTTTTTCTATGTTGTTTGCAAAAAAAAGTGCTGCAAAATATTCAGAAAAACTGTAGTGGATGAAAATTGGCTTTTCATCGACAATATGACTAATGAAACCCCAGTTTTCGTCGCCTTCTTGTACCTCTTTCTTATAATCCTTCATTTCTGTCAGCTCTTCTTCATCAAGAAACTTCTTTAAATCTTTTTTCATAAAAAGTGCACTTAAAGCTAGAAGCGAATATTTTTTTATAAAGGAAGCGAAGTGTATTTTATATAAGGACCATGGTTTTGTTAAGTCTAATATCTTTTTGTCTGTAAGATCCCTCCTGAATTTGCTGACAACAAAAGCTTTATAGAGGCTAGTGAGATGTAATTGTTTTGAAAAAGTTGATTTTGTTTTTTTGGACAGTTGATGAGAGGTGTGGAATTCTTCTTGAAAAGCTTCAACCAGCATTTTGATATGTAATGGTATTCCTGTAAATTCATTATTTTCATCAGAAACGGGTTGCAAAACACTGTCAAGTAATTTGTTGGCGTAATACTCAAAGTTTTCTGTGATACTATGTCCTAAAATGTTACGCAAATACTTTCGAATAAACATCACCTGATCATCTCTAGACAGCGACTTCAGACTATAGGATAGTACTTTTAGTGTAACCTCTAGTTCATTTTTCATGTGTGGGCGTGTAGTTATCCAGAGGTGGTTCTCAGTATTTGAATCTTGTAAAGTTTTTAACAGTTCAATAATATTCCCCTTGTAGTCAGGAACTATTTCATCAAATCCATCAAGAAAAAAAGCAACTTTACCTGCATTCAATCCATGCCTAAATAATTCTCCTTCCAGGTGTGTCTTTAGACCAGCTATGTCCACAATAAATTTAAAAATTTGGTCCTTATCATTATCAAAGTCTACATTTGCTAACTTTCCTGTATAGTCATTTAAATTAATTCTCATAACCCATAGGGAAGAATTTATAATTTTCATTTTTCGTGCTATTTTTGTCAGTACTGTGGATTTACCCGCGCCAGATACTGAACTTATAATAACTACACGTCCATCTATATCACTGCATGCAGAGGAGCAATACTCTTCAAGAAATGCTTTTTCACCTCGAGTTTTATGCCAGAGATATCGATCATCTATTTCTCTTACCCAATGAATATTTCTATTTTCATATTCAGTACAAAGTTTCTCAAACTCTTTACCTGTTTCAGAAATCAACAGTATGTCTTGATCTTGTTTAAGTATCGAAGTTTCAATTTGATCGTCATAAGTAACATGGATTTTAGATTCCTTTTGAATATACTTTCCATCTTTACACTGATAAAAATGTCGCTCAATGTAGTAATTCTCAATATCACCTAAATCAGGAAGTCTTTTACCTATCACTATCATTTCATTGTTGATAAGTTTAGATAATGTTTCTTCATCTACCAGATGCTTTGTTTTATCTGTTATCAAACTACCTAATTCTGTAAATAATCCTTGAAAGAAAATGGTTTTCTTCAAAAGTCGCTTTTGAGAATCATTTGTTAAATCAACAAATGTAACTCCCGAATCGTCCGTCATTTTACAATAAAAATGTAAATTAACTTCTAAATAGTATTCTAAGTCGTTACTCCTTTGAGTAATTAAAATAAACTTAAGCATGAGTTTATCTTCTAAAACGCTGAATAATTTCCTAAAATAATTAATCAGTAATTCTTTATCATTTATCCAGGATTCTTCGTCACTTTCAATTACGAATAAGACCGTCACTTTCGTATTCAATTGTTTTACGAAATCATAAATCGGGAAAAACTGTTGCAAGTTTAAAAACATCTTCATGCTGAGATAAATGATATTAAGAGTTTTATAGTTAGTGCTTGACTCATTTAGAAATTTGTGAATTTTTTTCATTTCTATTACTGGGTGAACCCTACACATCAGTTGTAAAAATTGACAATTTTCACTTTTTAGAAAATCATCGAGAAGATCCATAGTTGCCTGCTTTAGTTCAATATACTCAATAGACTGAAGATAATGGAGAGCCTGTTTTTGGTAAGCATCATTAAAAACACAAAAACTATTTAACTTGGCGTTTACTGCCATGTGTATGCTTGGAGAAATAAGTAAAATGTTTTTGACGCACATAATCACCTTCTGCAGTATGTCTTCTGAACTGCACTTGATAACCCCTCGTCCTTTTCCCTCTTTTATCTCAAAATCAAGTATTTTTTCGACTTTATCTTTATTTATTACTCCCTCTGTTTTGTGATGAAGAGAAGTGAATAAGTCATCAATCAGAGAAAACATCGAAAAGTTCTTCAATATACCATATCCTTTCAGAAAATCAAATTCCGCCTGTGTAAAAATATTAGCACTACATTCTCCTTCCTCCACATTTTGTAATTGATAACGAATAGTACAATAATCGTCACCATCTGCCGGTGGATTATAATCATTAGCACAATTTGCTAAGTTATGAAAATGTTCATATTCATTACATTCACTATTAAATAATTTTTCGATAATTCTTGTACCTAATCCACCTTTCACAAGTGGCCAATCTCTTATCTTCATTATTCTTCCGCTTGAACTGCCTTTCCCAGAAAATAAAGCATCTCTAATTTTTTTCATTTTGTGAGTTTCTTTAGTATATTGTAATAGATTCCATCTTTTCCTTATTTCTGGTAAGCCTTCAATGAAAACCCGATATAAATTACCGACATTAATATGTGAGTGTAGTGTATTGACCAAATTTGGTGCGGATAGGTAAATTGTTACGTCCAACAAATCTACTAAATTAACTTTATCGCCAGCATGTACGTCGAAGTCATCTTCCATTTTCAGCAACATGTCTTTGCAGCCAGGACAATCAAAAACTACTGTATGAGTGTGGTAGCCTTCTTTTTGGCTTTTAACAAAAAAAGAAGAACCCTTTTCTTCACAGAATTTAGTAGTAAGATATTGAGTTGAAAAAGCAGTTATCTGTGCTAACCAACCACCCAAAGAATGCCCAGTAATAGAAAGACTCAAATTCACTGATTGCTTTTTATTGAGTTTGTCCAATTGGGTCACGATGAGGTTTGAAAAACTAGCAGCAGAACTCATTTGAGAAGTGTACTTGTTTGATAAAACACCTTCATAATCGGTCCATATATCCTTTAGGTTTTTTGTTCCTTTGTGAGCAATAACAACTTGCTGGTCATTGGGATTCCAATATGCAGCGCCAAAATAATTATCACTAGAGTTCTTTGCTGTTGTCAGCAGAACCCAACCTTGATCCAGAGGATCTGGACAAATTTTCGATTCTACAGAAACTCTACATGCAAGTTCTGCTAAAAATGAATCACTTGGATATGCACAACGCCCTTCTAAGGGAACAGTTCTCTTTATATCCGATTCAATTATTGAAATAAAATTTTTGTTTAAAATTTCCGGATCAAGTACTTTTAGTTTTTTGGGAAAAGGAATTGCCATCTCCAGTATTGGACAAGATAAATCTACAAAAAGTGCAAAAGGATTTTTCTAAGAAGTGCTAATGGAATTGATACTTCCTTTCTCTATCTAACACCTCAGAAACGTTCAGTGTAACTTCGTCTTGTTTACCTATTATGTAAAAAAAAGATATAATTGTTTTAAATACTAATTGTAAACTAAAAAAACAATCTGCAAAGTACATTTCAAAAGACAAATTTGTATTAGTTTTGCCATGTTTACGGTATGGGATAAAATTGGTGCACCACTCATTTCGCAATAATATTCTGTGATGACAGCACACTCGCACAGTAAAGGTTCACCTTGTTGGAGACTGACGACAGATTAATTTGAATTAAAAACTGCATAGACACTCCCAACGAAATCTAAATACTTTTAACGATTGAAACGGCATTGTAAAAAATAAAAGGCACAACATAAGTATGTAACATAATGAACATAATATGAGTGATACTCTGTATAAACTGTGACGTTACATCTTTCCGAATATGATGTTAAGCAACCCAAAACATTCAGTGAAGAAACACTTTATTTCAGGTTAACACCAGTTCGAGCTACAATTTAAAGAGTGTCAGTTAAATCTAAACACCAATAATGAGGTTGCATCAACTCTTGCTCCTTCACACCATACGACAATTATTTTCACCTCCTAATGCATCGACGCTGACGCGCTTTGAATATCGCCAGTAACATTTGCAATCAAGAAAGAGTCAGAAGGAATTTGTTGAAAAATTTGCTGCGCTGTTTCACATCAACAGAAATAAAGGTTTCCCTTTAAAACATGAATATATGTTTTCAGTTGTTGCATGAAGATAGTAATGTTTTAATTTTTAAATCTTTGTGAACACTTTGAGGTGATTTTTTCATGTATAATTCATATCCGCTTCTTTTCTGTTTAGTCTAATTAGAATTCGTCTATAAATTCATTTGTTTTATATATTTGTCTGCACATTCGTCTATAAATTCGTCTATAAATTCGCCTATATACGCGTATGTATGATTAACAAACTTATTTTATTTTACGAATTAGTTTGTACATGCCTTCTAAGTTAATAATTCTTACTCTTAGATTACATCATAGAAATAACTTTACTGACTTTTATGTGTATTTTATCTTACAGTTATAAATATTAATGCTACTGAATACAAAAATTGGCGTCGGCTATTTCACACAAAAAAGTGTAAAAGAATATGCTCGTGCTTTACTACACCAGGAACTATTCTTGGTTTGTGTAGTGAAACACTATTTTGGTGTTAATTAGTTGCTATCATTTTTTGTGTTAAGCTTTTACACTGCATAAACAGCATAGCATTTAAAGTGACAGGGTTGTTTCTAATCATTCTAATTTGCAGAAGGTTGATGCCAACAAAACGTAAACTAAATAAATGATTATGATTATGTCTAAGCTAAACACAAATGCAAATTCTAACCCATAATGTAATGTAACTTGTTACGAGGTTGATGAGAACTCCATTCTTTTGTGTGGGCACACCAAAAAAGTGTAAATAAAGATAGTAAAATGGTTAGTCACGTCATTAAATTGGTGTATTTGATTTCAGTTGTTTATCTTCGATTGGCGCAGTTGTCATCAGGCAGAATGTTTCAGGGTATATTACCTTAACCCTATTTAGAGGATTATTTATTTATTTTTAAAATATCTCCCGATTGTTTTGTGTTATATCAACAACCAAATTATAGTACTTCAGGAAATATATTTAATTTTTCTAAATTTTACGTTTATATTTATATTTTAGGGGTTGGGAAATACACTTCTAAAGGAAGCATTTACAGTAACTAAGAAAATTAAATTTATTGGTCAATGTTTGCCATAAAAAATGAGAAGCATGTTTCAATGTACAATCTCCGTACATGTAGCAATTCTTTGGTCCCTGTCTTTACGTGCTACAATTCTTATATCGTCTAATCTATCGTCAAATGTGCTAATTCTATTCAATCAAATGAACAATCATTGACAGGACAAAATCCTTACTGAATTGGTATTCGACATGTAATAATATAATAGTATAATAATAGTTTTATTTAAGCAATATGAATAAAAAATTTGACAATTTAATACCAAGCAAAAAGAAGTCTAAAGACAAGTATGTTAGCAAAAACGGCCCTTCAGCAGGGGACCAAGATGCTGGAACCTTTCTGTTGTCTGTGGTAAAATCAAAAACTGACAGTGTCCTGAAGTACAATATACAATATAATAGCACAATATAATGCCATTAATACAGGATGTAATAAAATACATCAAACATTCCAAGATTGAAATAAAAATTAAAATCCTGCGAAACCCAAGTCAAAATTCCGCTAAAAAAACTAAGACTGACAAGTCTACCTATAAAAAATACTAAGAGTAAGTTACAGTTAGAAAAACGAAAATAATATAAGTGATAAAATTCTTAGAACATTAAAGTAAAATTAAGTAATTAATTTTTTTTTTGTCGTATACTTGTTTAGGCAGTGGGGGTGCGATTGTTCCTGTTTCTCAGTGGCGCCATCTATGGCCAGGAATTCGAATTCTGCCACGCCATTCACACAACCCGTTCATAGGGCAGGTCACATTCACACACAAAGGAGAAAGGACATAGAACACAGAGAGAGAAAGAAACATCCATGACTTGCCCGGGATTCGAACCCAGGATCTTTCAGATGCAAGGACAGTTCCCTGCCCCCCCACACAGAACGGTAGGCAGCAATTACAGTTAGGAGTAGTAATAATAACAGAAAGGCTCCAGCATGTTGGCAAGGCGGTGTGTCTCTTGATGAAAAGCTGTTTTTGCTTACATTCTTATTTTTTTGCTTGTATTTATACTCACATGTTTATATATATATATATATTGCTTAATCAAGACAATTTTGGTTTTAGCTGTTTTTTAGCACTTTTTCAATTAGGATTGACAAATCTGTCTACGTATGAAAAATACAAAGAGTAAGTTACAGTTAGAGGAACCAGAATAATGTAAATGATCAAATTCTTAGTACATTAAAGTGAAATTAAGTAATTACAGTTAGGAGTAGTAATAATAACAGAAAGACTCCAGCATGTTGGCAAGGCTGTGTGACTCCTGATGAAAAGCTGTTTTTGCTAACATTCTTATTATTTTGCTTATATTTAAACTCTCGTGTTTTTATATATATTGCTTAATCAAGACAATTTTGGTTTTAGCTGCTTTTTAGCACTTTTTCAATTAGGATAGACAAGTCTGTCTACGTATGAAAAATACAAAGAGTAAGTTAGAGTTAGAGGAACCAAAATAATGTTAATGATCAAATTCTTAGTACATTAAAGTAAAATTAAGTAATTACAGTTAGGAGTAGTAATAATAACAGAAAGACTCCAATATGTTGGCAAGGCGGTGTGTTTCTTGATGAAAAGCTGTTTTTGCTAACATTCTTATTTTTTTGCTTATATTTAAACTCTCATGTTTATGTATATATATATTGCTTAATCAAGACAATTTCGGTTTTAGCTGGTTTTTAGCACTTTTTCAATTAGGATTGACAAGTCTGTCTACGTATGAAAAATACAAAGAGTAAGTTAGAGTTAGAGGAACCAAAATAATGTAAATGACTAAATTCTTAGTACATTAAAGTAAAATTAAGTAATTACAGTTAGGAGTAGTAATAATAACAGAAAGACTCCAGCATGTTGGCAAGGCGGTGTGTCTCCTGATGAAAAGCTGTTTTTGCTATCATTCTTATTTTTTTGCTTGTATTTATACTCTCATGTTTATATATATATTGCTTAATCAAGACAATTTTGGTTTTAGCTGGTTTTCAGCACTTTTTCAATTAGGATTGACAAGTCTGTCTACGTATGAAAAATACAAAGAGTAAGTTACAGTTAGAGGAACCAAAATAATGTAAATGATCAAATTCTTAGTACATTAAAGTAAAGTTAAGTAATTACAGTTAGGAGTAGTAGTAATAACAGAAAGACTCCAGCATGTTGACAAGGTGGTGTGTCTCCTGATGAAAAGCTGTTTTTGCTAACATTTTTATATTTTTGGTTATATTTAAACACTCATGGTTTTATATATATTGCTTAATCAAGACAATTTTGGTTTTAGCTGCTTTTTAGCACTTTTTCAATTAGGATTGACAAGTCTGTCTGCGTATGAAAAATACAAAGAGTAAAATACAGTTAGAGGAACCAAAATAATGTAAATGATCAAATTCTAAGTACATTAAAGTAAAATTAAGTAATTACAGTTAGGAGTAGTAATAATAATAGAAAGACTCCAGCATGTTGGCAAGGCGGTGTGTCTCCTGATGAAAAGCTGTTTTTGCTAACACTCTTATTATTTTGCTTATATTTAAACTGTCATGTTTATATATATATTGCTTAATTATGAAAAATACGTATGAAAGATACAAAGAGTAAGTTACAGTAAGAAGGACCAAAATAATGTAAATGATCAAATTCTTAAGACATTCAAGTAAAATTAAGTAATTACATATGATATATGATATGATATATGATATGATATATGATATGATATATGATATGATATATGATATGATATATGATATGATATATGATATGATATATGATATGATATATGATATGATATATGATATGATATATGATATGATATATGATATGATATATGATATGATATNCTACATTTGCTAATTTTCCTGTATAATCATTTAAATTAATTCTCATAACCCATAGGGAAGAATTTATAATTTTCATTTTTCGTGCTATTTTTGTCAGTACTGTGGATTTACCAGCGCCAGATACTGAACTTATAATAACTACACGTCCATCTATATCACTGCATGCAGAGGAGCAATACTCGTCAAGAAATGGTTTTTCACCTCGAGTTTTATGCCAGAGATATCTATCATCTATTTCTCTTACCCAATGGATATTTCTATTTTCATATTCAGTGCAAAGTTTCTCAAACTCTTTACCTGTTTCAGAAATCAACAGTATGTCTTGATCTTGTTTAAGTATCAATTTTTCAATTTGACCGTCATAAGTAACATAAATTTTAGATTCCTTTTGAATATACTTTCCATCTTTACACTGATAAAAATGTCGCTCAATGTAATAATTCTCAATATCACCTAAATCAGGAAGTCTCTTACCTATCACTATCATTTCATTGTTGATAAGTTTAGATAATGTTTCTTCATCTACCAGATGCTTTGTTTTATCTGTTATCAAACTACCTAATTCTGTAAAAAATCCTTGAAAGAAAATGGTTTTCTTCAAAAGTCGGTTTTGAGAATCATTTGTTAAATCAACAAATGTAACTCCCGAATCATCCGTCATTTTACAATAAAAATGTAAATTAACTTCTAAATAGTATTCTAAATCGTTACTCTTTTGAGTAATTAAAATAAACTTAAACATGAGTTTATCTGCTAAAACGCTGAATAATTTCCTAAAATAATTAATCAGTAATTCTTTATCATTTATCCAGGTTTCTTCGTCACTTTCAATTACGAATAAGACCGTCACTTTCGTATTCAATTGTTTTACGAAATCATAAATCGGGAAAAACTGCTGCAAGTATAAAAACTTCTTCATGCTGAGATAAATGATATTTAGAGTTTTATAGTTAGTGCTTGACTCATTTAGAAATTTGTGAATTTTTTTCATTTCTATTACTGGGTGAACCCTACACATCAGTTGTAAAAATTGACAATTTTCATTTTTTAGAAAATCATAGAGAAGATCCATAGTTGCCTGCTTTAGTTCGATATACTCAATAGACTGAAGATAATGGAGAGCCTGTTTTCGGTAAGCATCATTAAAAACACAAAAACTATTTAACTTGGCGTTTACGGCCATGTGTATGCTTGGAGAAATAAGTAAAATGTTTTTGACGCACATAATCACCTTCTGCAGTATGTCTTCTGAACTGCACTTGATAACCCCTCGTCCTTTTCCCTCTTTTATCTCAAAATCAAGTATTTTTTCGACTTTATCTTTATTTATTACTCCCTCTGTTTTGTGATGAAGAGAAGTGAATAAGTCATCAATCAGAGAAAACATCGAAAAGTTCTTCAATATACCATATCCTTTCAGAAAATCGAATTCCGCCTGTGTAAAAATATTAGCACTACATTCTCCTTCCTCCACATTTTGTAATTGATAACGAATAGTACAATAATCGTCACCATCTGTCGGTGGGTTATAATCATTAGCACAATTTGCTAAGTTATGAAAATGTTCATATTCATTACATTCACTATTAAATAATTTTTCGATAATTCTTGTACCTAATCCACCTTTCACAAGTGGCCAATCTCTTATCTTCATTATTCTTCCGCTTGAGCTGCCTTTCCCAGAAAATAAAGCATCTCTAATTTTTTTCATTTTGTGAGTTTCTTTAGTATATTGTAATAGATTCCATCTTTTCCTTATTTCTGGTAAGCCTTCAATGAAAACCCGATATAAATTACCGACATTAATATGTGAGTGTAGTGTATTGACCAAATTTGGTGCGGATAGGTAAATTGTTACGTCCAACAAATCTACTAAATTAACTTTATCGCCAGCATGTACGTCGAAGTCATCTTCCATTTTCAGCAACATGTCTTTGCAGCCAGGACAATCAAAAACTACTGTATGAGTGTGGTAGCCTTCTTTTTGGCTTTTAACAAAAAAAGAAGAACCCTTTTCTTCACAGAATTTAGTAGTAAGATATTGAGTTGAAAAAGCAGTTATCTGTGCTAACCAACCACCCAAAGAATGCCCAGTAATAGAAAGACTCAAATTCACTGATTGCTTTTTATTGAGTTTGTCCAATTGGGTCACGATGAGGTTTGAAAAACTAGCAGCAGAACTCATTTGAGAAGTGTACTTGTTTGATAAAACACCTTCATAATCGGTCCATATATCCTTTAGGTTTTTTGTTCCTTTGTGAGCAATAACAACTTGCTGGTCATTGGGATTCCAATATGCAGCGCCAAAATAATTATCACTAGAGTTCTTTGCTGTTGTCAGCAGAACCCAACCTTGATCCAGAGGATCTGGACAATTTTTCGATTCTTTCGAAACTCTACATGCAAGTTCTGCTAAAAAGGAATCACTTGGATATGCACAACGCCCTTCTAAGGGAACAGTTCTCTTTATATCCGATTCAATTATTGAAATAAAATTTTTGTTTAAAATTTCCGGATCAAGTACTTTTAGTTTTTTGGGAAAAGGAATTGCCATCTCCAGTATTGGACAAGATAAATCTACAAAAAGTGCAAAAGGATTTTTCTAAGAAGTGCTAATGGAATTGATACTTCCTTTCTCTATCTAACACCTCAGAAACGTTCAGTGTAACTTCGTCTTGTTTACCTATTATGTAAAAAAAAGATATTATTGTTTTAAATACTAATTGTAAACTAAAAAAACAATCTGCAAAGTACATTTCAAAAGACAAATTTGTGTTAGTTTTGCCATGTTTACGGTATGGGATAAAATTGGTGCACCACTCATTTCGCAATAATATTCTGTGATGACAGCACACTCGCACAGTAAAGGTTCACCTTGTTGGAGACTGACGACAGATTAATTTGAATTAAAAACTGCATAGACACTCCCAACGAAATCTAAATACTTTTAACGATTGAAACGGCATTGTAAAAAATAAAAGGCACAACATAAGTATGTAACATAATGAACATAATATGAGTGATACTCTGTATAAACTGTGACGTTACATCTTTCCGAATATGATGTTAAGCAACCCAAAACATTCAGTGAAGAAACACTTTATTTCAGGTTAACACCAGTTCGAGCTACAATTTAAAGAGTGTCAGTTAAATCTAAACACCAATAATGAGGTTGCATCAACTCTTGCTCCTTCACACCATACGACAATTATTTTCACCTCCTAATGCATCGACGCTGACGCGCTTTGAATATCGCCAGTAACATTTGCAATCAAGAAAGAGTCAGAAGGAATTTGTTGAAAAATTTGCTGCGCTGTTTCACATCAACAGAAATAAAGGTTTCCCTTTAAAACATGAATATATGTTTTCAGTTCTTGCATGAAGATAGTAATGTTTTAATTTTTAAATCTTTGTGAACACTTTGAGGTGATTTTTTCATGTATAATTCATATCCGCTTCTTTTCTGTTTAGTCTAATTAGAATTCGTCTATAAATTCATTTGTTTTATATATTTGTCTGCACATTCGTCTATAAATTCGTCTATAAATTCGCCTATATACGCGTATGTATGATTAACAAACTTATTTTATTTTACGAATTAGTTTGCACATGCCTTCTAAGTTAATAATTCTTACACTTAGTTTATATCATAGAAATAACTTTACTGACTTTTATGTGTATTTTATCTTACAGTTATAAATATTAATGCTACTGATTACAAAAATTGGCGTCGGCTATTTCACACAAAAAAATGTAAAAGAATATACTCGTGTTTTACTACACCAGGAACTATCCTTGGTTTGTGTAGTGAGACACTATTTTGAAGTTAATTAGTTGCCATCATTTTTTGTGTTAAGCTTTTTCACTGTATAAACAGCATAGCATTTAAAGTGACAGGGTTGTTCTTAACCATTCTAATTTGCAAAAGGTCGATGCCAACAAAATGTAAACTAAATAAATGATTATGATTATCTCTAAGCTTAAAATAAACGCAAATTCTAAGCCATAATGTTATGCAACTTGTTACGAGATTGATGAGAACTCCGTTCTTTTGTGCGGGTACACCAAAAAAGTGTAAATAAAGATAGTAAAACGGTTAGTCACGTGATTAGATTGGTGTATTTGATTTCAGATGTTTATCTTAGATTGGTGCATTTGATTTCAGTTGTTTATCTTCGATAGGTGCAGTTGTCATCAGGCAGAATGTTTCTGGGTATATTACCTTAACCCTATTTAGAGGGTTATTTATTTATTTTTAAAATTTCTCCCTATTGTTTTGTGTTATATCAACAACCAAAGTATAGAACTTCAGGAAATATATTTAATTTTTATAAATTTTACGTTTATATTTATATTTTAGGGGCTGGGAAATACACTTCCCAAGGAAACATTCACAGTAACTAAGAAAATTAAATTTATTGGTCAATGTTTGCCATAAAAAATGAGAAGCATGTTTCAATGTACAATCTCCGTACATGTAGCAATTCTTTGGTCCCTGTCTTTACGTGCTACAATTCTTATATCGTCTAATCTATCGTCAAATGTGCTAATTCTATTCAATCAAATGAACAATCATTGACAGGACAAAATCCTTACTGAATTGGTATTCGACATGTAATAATATAATAGTATAATAATAGTTTTATTTAAGCAATATGAATAAAAAATTTGACAATTTAATACCAAGCAAAAAGAAGTCTAAAGACAAGTATGTTAGCAAAAACGGCCCTTCAGCAGGGGACCAAGATGCTGGAACCTTTCTGTTGTCTGTGGTAAAATCAAAAACTGACAGTGTCCTGAAGTACAATATACAATATAATAGCACAATATAATGCCATTAATACAGGATGTAATAAAATACATCAAACATTCCAAGATTGAAATAAAAATTAAAATCCTGCGAAACCCAAGTCAAAATTCCGCTAAAAAAACTAAGACTGACAAGTCTACCTATAAAAAATACTAAGAGTAAGTTACAGTTAGAAAAACGAAAATAATATAAGTGATAAAATTCTTAGAACATTAAAGTAAAATTAAGTAATTAATTTTTTTTTTGTCGTATACTTGTTTAGGCAGTGGGGGTGCGATTGTTCCTGTTTCTCAGTGGCGCCATCTATGGCCAGGAATTCGAATTCTGCCACGCCATTCACACAACCCGTTCATNAAGAACTTGGCTCATTGATTAAAAATATTGTTTTAATTTTACAGTACTAACTTTACTTCTACTTACATTATTGCTATGACCCTCTTTCGTTACATTTTACAACTTCATGCTAAACTTGAGGACTTTAAGTTGTTTTGTGGTTGAATACCGACATTTAGAAATGTGTACATAAAAAAATAATATTTAGAGAGAGTATAGACAATAATATAATTTAGAGACAATAATATTTTTGAAAAATATTAGAAATAATATTTTTCACAGAAACAATCGTTTTTGTGAAAAATTGAATTGTATTGTTCACATCAAAACTAAAAATATTGTGTTTCAACTTAACAATACTACCTTAATTTATACTTGCCTCGGAGAAATTTGAATTGTTAGCAATGACTTAAACAAAAAGTTTTATTTTAACTGACAAATACTATATTATAATTTTAACTTTTTCTATGACTATACTCATTTTCTTACTCTTTTCTTTGTTTTTTATGCATTTTATTTTTTTGTGATAAAATAAAAAACTTATAGTTGTTTTGCTTCTGAACTGATGAAAATACAAAATGATGGGCTTCATCAACAATCAAAAATACATACATTTATTTTACAAATTCCATATTATTAAGGTGGCGCCCTTCAGAGAATTAAAAATACAAAATTATCTTCATCAAAGCCGATGCTTTACCTAAAGCGTTCAGTGGCAGACTTCTATTTCATATTGTTTTACAACACATGGCTTTAGCCCTCTGGTGGGAAAGACTTTAAAACAAAACTTACAACAGTTACTTTTCTCAACAACTGAAATTTAGAATAGTGTGATTAAGAAAAATATGTGAACTGTTTGCAATTTCAAATTAATATTGAAATGTACAGGTTTAGAATTTTCTACAGTGAAAAGTTTTCGGAACTTCAGTATTCATAAAAGTATACAAGAGCTAGACTTTAAGAACGTATCCAATGAGCGAGCAAAGCGAGCATGGGATTGCGGAGCAATCCGAAATGAACTGTGAAAGCAGTTCCGGGGGTTGGTGAGCGCCAGCGAGCAGGGTGCGAAGCCTCCTGGTAGTATAATAATAGTTTTATTTAAGCAATATGAATAAAAAATTTGACAATTTAATACCAAGCGAAAAGAAGTCTAAAGACAAGTATGTTAGCAAAAACGGCACTTCACAAGGGGACCAAGATGCTGGAACCTTTCTGTTGTCTGTGGTAAAATCAAAAACTGACAGTGCCCCGCAGTACAATATACAATATAATACCTCAATACAATGCCATTAAAACAGGCTGTAATAAAACACATCAAACACTCCAAGATTGAAATAAAAATTAAAATCCTGCGAAATCCAAGTCAAAATTCCGCTAAAAAAACAAAGACTGACAAGTCTACCTATAAAAAATACAAAGAGTAAGTTACAGTTAGAAAAACGAAAATAATATAAATGATCAAATTCTTAGAACATTAAAGTAAAATTAAGTAATTACAGTTTTTTTTTTGTCGTATACCTGTCTAGGCAGTGGGGGTGCGATTGTTTCTGTTTCTCAGTGGCGCAATCTATGGCCAGGAATTCGACTTCTACTACGCCATTCACACTACCACAATCCGTTTATAGGGCAAGTCACATTCATACACAAAGGAGAAAGGACATAGAACACAGAGAGAGAGAAAGAAACATCCATACCTTGCCCGGGATTCGAACCCAGGATCTTTCTGATGCAAGGACAGTTCCCTACACAGAACGGTAGGCATTAATTATAGTTAGGAGTAGAAATAATGACAGAAAGGCTCCAGCATGTTGGCAAGGCGGTGTGTCTCCTGATGAAAAGCTGTTCTTGCTAATATTCTTATTTTTTTTGCTTATATTTAAACTCTCATGTTTTTATATATATTGCTTAATCAAGACAATTTTGGTTTTAGCTGCTTTTTAGCACTTTTTCAATTACGATTGACAAGTCTGTCTACGTTGGAAAAATACAAAGAGTAAGTTACAGTTAGAGGAACCAAAATAATGTAAATGTTCAAATTATTAGTACATTAAAGTAAAATTAAGTAATTACAGTTAGGAGTAGTAATAATAACAGAAAGACTCCATCATGTTGGCAAGGCGGCGTGTCTCGTGATGAAAAGCTGTTTTTGCTAACATTCTTATTATTTTGCTTACATTTAAACTCTCATGTTTTTATATATATTGCTTAATCAAGACAATTTTGGTTTTAGCTGCTTTTTAGCACCTTTTCAATTAGGATTGACAAGTCTGTCTACGTGTGAAAAATACAAAGAGTAAGTTACAGTTAGAGGAACCAAAATAATGTAGATGATCAAATTCTTAGTACATTAAAGTAAAATTAAGTAATTACAGTTAGGAATAGTAATAATAACAGAAAGACTCCAGCATGTTGGCAAGGCCGTGTGTATGATATATGATATGATATATGATATGTAGGAGTTGAATTGTTGAAATTCTTTTTTTCTCTTATTATTAACAAAAATAAGAAGTGTCTTGGCCAATTGGTAATTTCAAGTTCTTCAGAGAAAAACTAGTGGGAAGTCCCTAGTTATAATTTTATTCAAAACAGTTTATTGAAAGTCTTAGTAAATTAACAATAAATCAGCTAATCAATAAATGAATCAGAATGAAATAAATAAATGAGATCAATATAAAATTAATCAAATCAGTTAATATATCGTTTGAATATTTGACTAATAAATGATTCAGAAAATCAGCGAGTCAATGAATGCGAAAGAATTGCTGAAATATTAAATCAGGAAATTATAAAAATTTAAAGAGAACATTAATTAGTAAATGTATAGGTGAATTGATATGTAAGCAAATAAATAAACCAGTGAGTTAAAGCTGATTTATGTATGCAAAAATGTAATAATAGCATATAAAAATCTAAAAAAATAAATATATAATACAAGCAAATAATTTTATAACTTTCAGTAGAAAATTAAATCTAATTTTAATTTATTTTAAAAACGTTTTAATTCAGTTACATAATATAAAGAAGAATCAAATAACGCTTAAAAAAAACGATTATCTTGATTTTCTAAATTCCAAAATATATACTGTTAGAATCATAAATTTTAAATTCTACCGTCTACATTTCAAAAAGATATTATAAATCTATACTTTACCAAGAAGACCCGTTTTAGAAGGATAATCCTTTAACGGTAAATTATAGATATAAAATCGTACTTGCGATACTTAAAAGAAACAAGACTGCTTAAAAGAAACAAAATAACACTCTATCTTTACCTGACAAATAAATAACACAGGAAATGAAATCAATTAATGGAACGATGAAAACTTGATGAGTAATCTAACTGATATAAATGACAATACCTGATAAGCGAAACGAAACATGCAATGCAAGGAAAGAACCAGAAGTGTTAAGAGACAAACAAAATGAATTTTTATAAGCATATAGACTTTGAAGCTAGGAAGACAAACGTGACTCAATTTTTATCAACATCGAAGCAGTTATAAAACTAAAAGTTCGTTTAAAATTGCAATAGATTAAATATAGCGTTTTGTGGAGAATTGTCAGTTTTTTTTTCATTTAAATTTATTTCCTAATAAAATAGTTTTGATTAGATACGTCAAGTATCAGAAACCCTTACAGACCAGCAGAGGGTGCTGCAAATCATTACAACATCTGATGATTATTTTTCATACATGTTTTCCTTTTCTTCTTAAAAAAGAAACGAACAAATGGGAGTAAATTGCTAAGACTTCTTTTTTAAGACATCTCTAAATTTGTTTATAATAAAATTTGAAAAGCTAATTTAAAAAACACCACAAACAACAAAAATTTAAGAATTTCTTTTATGTTATACTTGATTACCAGCTTATTCCCATCTATTTAGTATTATCTGCATAAAATTCTACTTAAGTTTAAACAACAAAAAGTTTTTATGTACAATTTTTAAGGACCTCATATTTTCTAATTTTGCTACATGTATGTTATATCAATATCAAATTAATAAATTACACTGGAAAACCTTTTTATGAGATTTTTAACAGATTTTTTTCTTGTCGTTGATATGAAATTTGCAATCAGATTCTCTCTCCTAGCTAGAGTTCTTTTTAACGGCATTTTCAGTCAATTTTTTGTCAAAATTTGAGAGTTTAAAAACGTTATATGTAACACGGGATGGCATAAATGTTGCGACAAACTTCCAGGCACGAGTAAGGACACATGACCACGATTGAAATTACATTGAAATCCATGCTCAGAAATGTCGTCATACGCCGCTAAGGGTCCCACCCTATTATGAACTGTTTCTTTGTGTATTTCTGAACACTTTTTAGTAGGAAAGCGTCCGTAGCTGCGCATGACAACGTTTCTGGGCATGCCTTCTTATGTAATAATCATCCAGATGATGTTCCCTAAATCCCCTAGAAATTGGCCGCAACATCCACGTGATCTTCTGTTACGTTTTTAAAGTTGAAAATTTCAACAAAAAATAAAGTAAAAAAGTCATTTCAAGAAAAATCTCCAGCTTTAGGTGCAAAACTAATCTCAGAATCTCCACATCCAAATTCGGCAAGGCCAACTTTTTTTAGTGATATTTAAATACTTCTAATGTTTCATTTACTTACAATGTTATTTAATTACTTACTATATTATTCAATTGCTTATAATGCTTTAAATCCTTACAGTGTCAACAATTAGTTACACTGCTTGAATTATTTTCAGAGTTATTCAATTGCATACATCATTCAATTACTTACAATGCTTCATTTACTTACAATATTATACAATTACTTACAATGTTATTCGATTACTTTGTATTACAGTGTTACTCAATTAATGACAATGCTTATTATGATAAATTAGTATATTTTAAAAGTGTGATTGGACAGTATAAACTACTTAGTGATTAAAAAACTGATTTTTATGCCGAAGGTTGCAATATTCTTTATACATAACATATTTTTAGATATAACATCTTTCTCCGCTTTTCACTACTCATTCCGTCAGCCTGTTTTGCTTTCATGTTTCATAATTTATGATTGTCAACCAATTTCATTTTAAACCATTATTTATTATTATTAAAAATTATAAATTATATTTTTTCGAGTGAAGGGCTTAACCCTTAGTCGTAGATAAGACACTGGTGTCCGTTTTATACATTTTTTCTGACTCTCAAATTAAAAGCAAATATATATTTCGATATTTTTTAATTATAGAAAAAGCAATCAAATTAGTACTAAAAAAGATGTTAGATTATCGGATTAAATTTGTATTAAAATATTTAAAAAAAACTAGTTTGAAAAATAAAACTTTTATTTGTTTTAATAAAATGTATGTGTAATTGCATCACAACAGAATAAAGTTTGTTCAGATAAGACAACTGAAATCTGGATTTCACAAAATATTTTAACAGACATTACAGTTTTTTTAATATATGTGTTTTTAATAACATATTATTTAATATATGTGTATGCTTCATAATCAATCAAAGTTTGATCACATTAAATAATTGAAATCTGGAATTTTGCAAAATATTTTAACAATCATTAAAATTTTTTTGATACGTGTGTCTTTAGTAGCATTGCATCACAATCAATCGAAGTTTGTTCAGATTAAATAACTGAAATCAGGATTTTCACAAAATATATTAACAGCCAATATATTACGTGTTTTCTATTTTCCCGTAATTTACACGCGAATACAAAATATTTTACCACATTTAAAAAACTCGTCTATGTCCGTATTCTTCCTTTTGGGAACTTGGTTTATGTGACAAGAAGTCCACGCAAAGCTGTGCACTCATAGCGATATCATAAAGTAAATAAAGTAATGAAGAGAATATTTGTTACATAATAAAAAGAAAAATTAGGTCGTCAATCTCGTATTCTAATTCAAGGTTGAATGTGAAAGTAGACAGGGAGGAAATTTTCTTATCAAACAGGAAGTAACGTGAATATTCTCAGACGAGTCTCCTTTGACGATTCTTTGAAAGTATAGTTATAGGTTTCAAGAAAATGGTCTCAAATAAAAATTATGCATGTTTAAAAGCTTCATTAAATGAAAATCAAGTTGATTATATTTTGGATTAACATTTTGGATTGTACACGGTAAGTAATTATCATCTTCATTTAATTTATGGGAAGATTGATTCCGTTTTGATTACTTAATGTTAAACAGCTGAAAGAGTCATGAAGTTGATTTTTTTTTTATCTCTTTATCAAAAAGAAAAGACAAGCACATTGCATTTTTAAGTTGTTCTCCAACTAGGAATTTTATTTAATATTAACTAATTAATTAACTCCTTAGCAACTAATAAATAATATTTAACTAATTATTAACTAATTAAGTAGTTTTCGAAAATTAAAAATTTATTGTTATTGTCTAAAACCGTTAATAGATGTTTTAAAATTTGGTGTAAATACGTTTTTTTTGTGTTTTTTTTTTTTTTTTGGAAAATCATTTTGCATGCATTTTAAGAACTATCTGAATATATTATTTGTGTATTTCTCTTATTTTAATATTTAAAAATATATTATCAATTTTGAAAGCTATCATATATTTTGTTGTATAAATTTTGAGTTTTACACTTAAGTAATACATATAAATTATTATTTAAGTAAGCTTATTTTATAATTATGATATTATTTGTTCCGAGTTTTTGACTTTATTTACTTTCCCATATCATGTGATTTATGTTATGGATTACTTGTCAAAATAATTCAGTAAAACTTTCTTTTAAGGGTAAATATTAGAAAATTTGTGTTAGTTTGAATTTTCATTTACATAAAATTGCCNCTCTCTGTTCTACAGTAAAGGGTCGTTAATGGAGATTGGTCGTTCCTAGTGTTTACTTTCATTCATTTCAAAATGATATCGAAGATACATATGATTTTTTGCGATCACTTTAATTTTAGCCAGTGTCATTATCTTGGTGCGGAAATTCCACTTATGTTTGTATTGAATACATGGTTACACCTCTTTTTTATTACCCTATTAAAAATGAGGAGCAAAAGTTTTTCATTCAAAACTATTTTATTTTCAACTTAATATATAGTTATAAATAAAATAAAATTGTATTGAATACATGTTTACACCTCGTTTTTATCATCCTATTAAAAATGAGGAGTGAAAGTTTCTCTTTCAAAGCTATTTTATTTTCAACTTAATATATAGCTATGAATAAAATAAAATTGTATTGAATAAATGTTTATTCCTTTTTTTTATTATCCTATTAAAAATAAGGAGTAAAAGTTTTTCATTCAAAACTATTTTATTTTCAACTTAGTATACAGCTATAAATAAAATAAAATTCTATTGAATGCATGTTTATTCCTCTTTTTTTATTATCCTATTAAAAATGAGGAGTAAAAGTTTTTCTTTCAAAACTATTTTCAACTTAATATATAGTTATAAATAAAATAAAAGTGTATTGAATACATGTTTATACCTCTTTTCTTATTACCTATTAAAAATAAGGAGTAAAAGTTTTTCATTCAAAACTATTTTATTTTCAACTTAATATGCAGCTATAAATAAAATAAAATTGTATTGAATACATGTTTATATCTCTTTTTTATTACCCTATTAAAAATGAGGAGTAGAAGGAAAAAAGGATTAATGAATAAAATTTAGTTTTTTTGTACTTTTTTCACTTTTTTGTACAACGCAGATAACAAAATAACTTGCAATTGAAATAGAGGAGTAAAATCACATTTTGAAAGACTTTTTGAATGAAAATAATTAGAATTTCCATTAAGCATAAATGAAAACCAGAAAAACGCTTTTTACAAACTAATTGAACTCTAACAGATAATAATGAGACTATATATCAGCAATTATTATCATTTTCCAATTTCTTGTGCTTTATATGAAATTTAATGTTTTGGGCAGCTCAGATTGCTCACTAAAATGTTCTTTATTTTATTTATTTAATTTAATTTATTTATTTTTTGTAAGTACATAAATTGTGTTTTTTTTTATTTCAAGTATTTGAATTTTAGAATGATATAAAGAATTAAATTTTAAGAACATATTAGTTTCTTTTTTTTTAATTTTAAAGTTTACAAATTATAAATCTTTCAAAAATTCGAGATGAAATTTGCGAATTTTCCTATTTTTCTGCAAAGAGACAGAATGTTATGAATTAATATTAATCATTACAACTTATAAAAAAAGGATTAAATTACAATAAAGAAGCACCATAGCTCACTCGAGGGAGTGGATATCGAGTAAAACTAGTTACTAGATCAGCAGTGCTGTGAATACTAGTCACAACTGATCTAGTATTTCGGTTTTTGTTTTCGATTTGTCGAGCATGCGCAGCTAATTCGTGTGTAAGAGGGAAGGTGTAGTTTACAAACATATCACTGGCGAGATTTTTGACTTCATATTGTTATGCCAAAAATCAATCTTATGTTAACCCCTGTACTTGTTTTCGATGTCAGTATACCTACCTCAGGAGTTCCTTTCATTCTGTAGGGGTGGGGGTAAAGACCACAGGTGGTATGTTCGGTGAAACACCCCTAGAACCATAAATAATATTAAATTGTATTGAATACATGTTTATGCCTCCTT